TTCGAAACGATACTTTGATCCTTGATGGAGATTTGAATGTTATTCGATTTCTGATAAGTTTGAAACATAAATATGAGTCTATTCGCTCTCAAATTTTGGGTGGCTCCCATCTTCCCTCTCTACTTGAGGTTTTCTCTCATTTACAGTGTGTTACCTTGTCTACTGGCTCTGCAGGCATTGTTCATGGTGTTTCCACTGACCGTTCAGCTCCTATTGTTCCTACTGGCTACAATGATGGCCATCGGGGTGAACATGATAATCGCGGTGGTCGTAGAGGTCATACTAACAATCGTGGAGGCCATACTAGATCTCATTTCTATATTCACTACCGCTGATTTCAGTTAGAATTTACATGGCAAACCATCTAGTGTTGCTAATCAGGTTTCCTATCATGATGACATCTCAGTTGTTACTTTTATACCTCGGTCAGCTCCACCTGACTCTAGGTTAGTTACTTTTACAAGAGAGGAGTATGCTCAGTTCCTGTCTTAGCAATAAGGTGTTTCATCTTCCTCCACTACTATTTTTACCCAGTCAGATACCGCTCTTACTTGTGTATTGTCCTCCACTTGCACGCTTCTGACCACATGACTGGTGCATCTAGTGTCTTTTCTACTATCAGTCTACTACTTTCACACACAATGTTACTCTTGCTACTGGTACTTCTTCTAAAGTTTCAAATTTAGGAACTACTCAATTAAGTCCTGATATGTTCCTATCCTTCGTGTTATTTGTTCCTCAGTTTTCTTTTAGTTTACTTTCCATTAGAAAAATTACTCATTCCCTTAATTGTTCTGCAACCTTTTATCCCTCTTATTGTGTGTTTCAAGATCTCAAGACGACGAGAAAGATTGGAACGGGACATGAAGTCGGTGGTCTCTATGGCTTTGACTTTGATTCACCTACTCGGACTCTATAGACCTCGTCATTTCCTTTTCAATAGCATTTTCGTTTTGGTCATTCCTCTCTCTAGAATCTAAAGCGTCAAGTTCTAAGTATTAATCATGTGTCGTCTGGGTCTTGTGAAGCTTGTCAACTTAGTAAGCATAACTTTGTGTCCTTTCAGTCTAGAGTCAATAATCATATGTCTAGTCCATTTGAGTTAGTACATTCTAATGTACGGGGTCTAATAAAGAATATTTCATCTAATAAATATCCTTATTTTATTTCATTTGTGGATAATTATTCTCGTGTGGCCTAGTTGTTTCTTATTATGAAAGCTCATTCTAAATTATTCTCTATATTTGAAACATTTCGTAAAGAAATAAAAATGCATTATAGTTGTCGTATTCGTATTTTACGTTCTGATAATGCTCGAGAATATGAATTTGATCCTTTTTGTAGCTTATTTTAATAAAATTGACATTATTTATCAAACTTCATATGCTTATATGTCTCAGCAGAACGGTGTCACTGAGTGCAAAAATCATCTGTTGGAAGTCATCCGTGCACTATTATTCCACGTGAATGTTTTCCGTTGTTTTTAGAGTGATGTTATTCTCACTGCTTGTCATCTTATTAATCGTATGACATCTTCTATGTTAAATAGGCAAAGTCCATATTCTGTCATTTTTCCTAGTAAACTCTTATTTTCCTTGGCCCCTAAGGTTTTTGAGTGTGTCTGTTATGTTCACAACTTGAGCCCTAAGTTTGATAAACTTGACCCTCGTACTACCAAATGTGTCTTTTTTGAATACTCCCGCACACAGAAGGGGTATCGTTGCTATAGTCCTTTCTTTCGTCTGTACTCCACTAGTGTTGATGTCACTTTTGATGAATATGTTCCATATTTTTTGGCACCTACTCAGTCTTTAGATTTGGATTTTGGGTCATCCCTTATACCACCACCTCTTCCATTACTTTAGAGATTTCGCTACCTACTATACTACCAGCTATTTCTCTACTTCATGTATACTCTCGTCGTCCTTGACCATCAACTGAGGTGTCGTACCGTCTTCCTTGTCGTTTCTTAATCTTGGTCCATCGGTAATTTTGATTCTTTACCTATTACTTTTCGAAAAGATACTGGCTAGTGTGTTATTAACCATCTCATTGCTCATTTTGTTTCATATGATGCATTGTCTCTTGTCTTCTCTTGTTTTACATCTGAACTGTCTACTACCTTTTTTCTAAGCATAAGCATTTATAGGATGCGTTGTCTGATCCGGATTGGAGGAAAACTATAGAAGAGGAGATAGATATATTACATCATAATGGGACTTGAGATCTTGTTCCTTTACCTCTTGACAAACAAACTATTAGTTGTCATTGTGTGTATATTGTTAAATTTAATCCGAATGGTTCTGTGGAGCGTCTCAAAGTCTGTCTTGTTGCTAAGGTCGTTACTCAAACCTATAGTGTTGATTATAAGGAGACTTTCTCTCCCGTTGCCAAAATCCCTTATGTTGTTCGTATATTGATTCATTTAGCCGCTAATCTTGATTGACCCTTGTTTCAATTAGATGTCAAGAATGTCTTCTTACATAATAACTTGGTTGAAGAGGTCTACATGGAGTAGGGATGGCAGTGGACCCAGAGAAAACGGGTATTCGTCCAAATCCGTCCCGTTTGGACCGGGAATGAACTATACGTATTGAACGGTAGACGTATACGGGAATACCCGTATAAACTTGTGCGGGGATGAACTTACCTTATCCCGCCCCGCCCTCGCCCCCGCCCCTCCCTACCCCGTCTCCGTTACCCGTTATATATATATACTCTTTATCATATGCAAGATCTATATATACTAGTATGGTTTTTTGTAAATGACTTTGTGGGGGTTTCAATTATTAGAAGGTATTTGCTCTACCAATCTGGTGTTTGGTGAATGAAAAGAGCCTGTATTCGGTAGTCTGATTGTATTCATGAAACCAATGCTATTTCATATTTGTGAGTTTCTCTACTAAACAAAATTGTAACAACAATGTTCATGCACTAAATGGGTAAAGATAAAACAGTTTTGACTTATGAACAATCCTTCTTCCAAACCTTGGTTTAGATCTAATTGTGAAGAGTGTGAAAATCATCTTATTAAGTTGACATGTAGATTGTAACGTGGCAATGAATACAAGAGTCTATTGAATCTGCCAGAATAACTGCTCAAAAAGAGAGAGAATAAGATACAGAATTACCAATTTCATGTTATATTGCATAAAGTCATTCAAATTTCTTTTAACAGTATACCAAAATAATTTTTTTCAGTGAAATTATGTGCTTAGGCTTAGGCTTGGGTTTAGGTTTGGGCTTAGGCTTGAGATTGGGCTTGGGCGGGTATAGGGAGGCGGGGATTAGAAATTTACCTGCGAACAGGAATGGGGATGAAAACTATACCCGCTAACGAGGGTGGACCATGAATGGATGAAATTTTTTTAAGTAGGTTACGGGAATGGAGACCACACCCCCCGACCCCGCTTCGGTCCACTGACATCTCTAACATGGAGCAGCCACCTGAATTTACTATTCAGGGGGAGTACCGTAAGCATGTGTATCGGTTAAAAAAATCTCTATATAATTTAAAAAGTCATCGAAGGCATAGTTTGGAAAGTTTGCAAATGCAGTTTTAGAGTTTGATTTTCTTTGATGTAAAACAGACTACCCTGTGATTCATAGACAAACGAATGTCGGATGTGTTCTATTAGTAGTTTATGTAGATGATATTGTGATTACTAGAAATAATTCTGATGGGATTTCCAAGTGAAAAACCTTCATGCAAGACCAATTTCATACTAAGGACTTAGGAAAACTCAGAAATTTCTTAGGTATTGAGGTTGCTAGATCTAAATAGGGTATTTGTATTTCAGAAAAAATATGCACTTGGCATACTAGAGGAAGCAAGTTTGTTGGGTGGCAGATCAATTGATGTTCCTATGGATTCAAATTAAAATTTGTTGAGGAATAATGGTGCATTTTTTGAAAATTCGGGTCGGTATCGCAAGTTGGTTAGGAAGCTTAATTATCTCACAATTATCCGACCGAATATTTCTTATTTAGTTAATATAAAAAGTCAGTTTATGTGTGCCCCAGAGTACCACATTGGGAGGCAGTTATTCGTATTTTGCGATATTACAAACATGCTCCTAGTCTTGCGCTGTTATATCGAGCTAATAGACATCCTAGAGTGAAAGGTATTTCAAATGCTGATTGAGTCGGCTCCCCTTTTGATAGGAGATTAACCACTAATTCTTGTATTTTTTTTAGGAGGTAACGTTGTCTCATGTAAGAGTAAGAAACAAACTATTGTAGCAAGATCTAGTGCTGAGGCTGAGTATAGAGCAATGACACATACAACGAGTGAGTTTACGTGACTACTACACTTTCTCTAAGAAACTGACTTTTTAGTTCAACCTCTTTTACAGTTGTTCTGTGATAATCAAATAACTATTCATATCGCTACTAATCCAGTATTTTACGAAAGAACCACATATATTGAGATTGATTGTCATTGAGACAAAATAATAGCTAGAGATATTACGACTTTATTTGTGAGATTTGAGGTTCAACTTGCGAATATGTTTACCAAAACATTGAGTTATACACGTCTTACAACCATTTGTTCCAAATTTGGATTATATGATATGTATATAGTCCAACTTGAGGGGGAGTGTTAAGAGTATTAAGTAAATACTAGTTAGTTATAATAAGTATACCACTAGAGGGTATATACGTCTTTTATATGATTACAAGTTAACTATAAATACAACTAGTTTGTGAGAGGTAGGTTAGGTTTTAACCACTCTCTGTCTTTCTCTAATATTGTGTTAATTCTCTTAACTTAACATCCACCATCTTACATTATTTAGGGGCTTCAAAAATAGGATATCTCCATTTCATAGTAAGTGTCAAAAATATCCATGTCATTATGGTGCATTGCATAGAGCAAAATAACACAATTTATCTCAATTCGAGAAAACAGAAATAAGATGCAGTTTACTTTCTTTCCACTGTTTGAAGAAGCATAAGGAAGAGTTTTATTCAGGCAACTCTATGTTACTATGCTAGATTCGGCTTTTTGAAAAATAAAGTGGTTTATCAACCTGATTCATTCAGTACTTGACTAATATACCTTGGCTCCCAATCAAAGATACAAAAAAGTAGATAATCTATCAAACACCTTAGCCACCTGCGGGTTTAGATAACTATGAAAGCTGTTTTATTGTGAAATTACTCAAATAAGAAAACTAAACAGCCAGAATTTTAAAATGACAGGACATCACAACCAGAACCCTCACCATCGTATCTCCAATTCCAAGGCTCAAAATCCCAGCAAAAGGGGCTAGTGGGCGGTCATCGAAACCAGAAGAAAACCAGATAGGAAGCGCAAATCCCAATAAGAGTGAAAAATGGCTACACAGAGAAAAATAAGTCCAAAGGAAAGGAATTGCATCTTGTTTACAAGAAATAAATGCTACTCACAGATTTTATGAGAAAAAATGTCAGACCTGACAATAAGAAGATCAGAGTCACGATGATCAGTAAAAGCATTCATAAATTGATGCACAAGGTGTCCCAAAGGCCAAATTCTCCATACCTGCTTACAAAAATATGGTTATGAAAGAGCGTACACACACGCGGATAGAGTGAGGGGTGCCCAAAGGCATGCTGTAGAGTGGATAGTGTAAAATGTTGGTAATGAAAAACTCCAATTATCTCTATTATTTCAACAAGTATGATGTGGTCTTATGCAGATTGACACTGACCCTCTAACAATCAACATTTTATTACATTATAATTAATATTGCACTTTTTTTTCTTTTTTTTTTTTTTTTTTGGGGGGGGGGGGGGGGTGTGGACCATAGTTATTGCTAAATCAATTGCTTCATTATTCACTGGAGCTTTCAAGAATGATTTTATGGTATGACATCTACAAATGTGTTAAGTGAAAGTTACTCCTTTTAGTGTTCAAGTGGCAGATGGAATTTAAACCCTGGCGCCAACTACTTTATAGTCTTAACTTTATCGCCAAACCAAGGCACCTGTTATGTGTATAAACTAAACAAGTACCAAATCTTAAGTGATGTAAACAATTGATTCCCCACCATTAAAACCTCTACACCCCCCACGACCAGCTTTGAACTGCTTTACTTGAATCTTGAAGAACATTCGAGCTATCTTACAATAATCATTTTCAGTAGACTTCAAGATTAAGTAATCACACAAATTGCCTTGTAAGATGTGCCTTCTTACATACATTGTTTCTGTAACATAAGAAATATCAGCTACACTTGGTCTTAATTTCCTTCATACAAAACTTTATGCCACTTTCATATACGATAAGGAGAAGTCTATGAATTATGTTTTATGCATCGCACTCTGAATTCCCAACACTACAATAACCATGGCAGCTAGCTATGTCATTGATCAGAAAATCAGAAAGATGACCAAACCATCTTCTTGGTAAAAACTCTTGTTTATCATATTAGAAACCTTGATTCAGGTTGTTCCATGAGCTTCAATGTCATCTTTCATTAGTAAGACTAATACCTAAATGCTTTGCACTAGATAGCAAAAAAAGGAAAAAGCAGTTCCAGTATCATCAATTTGGTCAGGATACAGATAATGATTATGAGCCACCTGAGGCTTCATGTGCTCATTTACTGCTTTTTTCTTCATAGTCTGAATGCCACGAACAAGTTCTTGCTGGCTATATTCCTTGATCCTTGAAAACTGGACCCTAATAGCTTAAAACTCCAGATTTTGCACTTAATGATGTCTTCCTCTGTTGTTTACAAGCAGGGCCAATAGATATTATCGTCAGAAATTGTGATGCAATTTTATTTTCCAATTTCAAATAAATTGGCATTAATGCACTACTTCCAACATTCCACTGATTAGTTTAAAACTTTCAAAAAAATTCCCAACTCTTCCTTTCTTCTATGCCTTTCTCCCAAGAGGGGCGAGCTGCTTGACATAACATTTACGTGTTCAATATATTCTCCAGCATTGACTCTTACAAACTCAGCCATTAGATCAGCGGCACATGTCGGACGCACATGACTTCCACCTATGCCATTATTTCTTATATCTAACATGCAACAATTATAGAAAAATACCATGGGCTTTTCGAAGACAGAACTTACACGAATAATTTCCAACGTTAAGAAAATTGCCAAAGCTGCACCAAATGCCAGTTCAAGAAATGCCGACTGCAACCAAATAGAAGTTCAGAGAATAGAGGACGAATCAGCTTAGGCAAGCAAAAATTGCTAATCAATATTTAACTCACAACAAAACGATTTACCAAAATTTCAAAAAGACCCTTAAAGAAAAGAATCCCATATCACCTGGAAGATAAGAGCAGGCAAAAACATTGAAACAGCCATCAGATGGTAATATTTTCGAAGAAGAATTCTCTCGATCTTACTATTTTTTGAAATGTTATAAAACCGTAGCACGGATACGTATATAACAACCACCCAGTAGATGCACAATGAGAGCCTCTTGAGTGGTTCTGAGAAAACAAAATTAACAATCCTGGCAAAGAAAAATAAGATGCAAGACTAGTATGTTATTCTGACCAAATATCGCAAAATGAATATCCAGAGTACCGAAACAAACTTGAATTATCAACCAAATCTATTAGGTTTGATAGTTCCCATAGACACTGCATATGTGAATAAAAAACAGTCCAAGGGCAGGCAACAATGTGTTGGATCTAATCGGTCATACATTTTGAAGATTACAAATCTGCATGTTTTAGTCATTCCAGTGAATCAAATTTTATTCACATTTTACCAAGGATGGACATAGATGGGTATAGTAGAGGACTTGACTCTCAATCACATTTTTTTAGGTAAATTCAGTAACAATTTTTTGCCGAATCCAAAACCTTTTATCTCCAGGTTAAATAACATGACTAAACCAAATGGTGGCACAATGAGGATAATATATGAAGGTATGTACCATAACCAAGGATGGACAGGAAAATCTTGAACAAACTGCATCCATGATGGAATGATCAAAATAAAGATAAATGCCAGCAATGCACAAAATATAACAGTTCTTCCAATCTCATGGTATGCTCTATGTTCAACATGAGCTGAACTTGTACAACATTCCCAGACCTGGAGAGAAAATTTAAGGAACATTGGAAAAAGAAGCAGACCAAGCAGCATGCCCTGCACGAAAGAAAAAGGAAAAAACTTCGTCATCCAGCTCAAAACCATCTCTAAATGTTTCCCCTTTTAAGTGGGTGGGGGATGTTAATATAAGGATCAATTCTATGACACAAGCAATCATACCTGAATAATGGTGCTTATCTCACTTCTTCTGATTACATATTGCACAAAAACTATTTCTGAGGATGCCAAGTATCCATTAATCTATTCAGACAATGATTGTTGATCTTAAACAATAGTTTATATTACTGTCTAGTATGAAGAAAGGATATTTTATTGGGCACTAGAAAGAACTAACCTTTACAACCGTACATGCAAGCATATCTCCAAAATAGATAACAAGACCAGTGGTCACCAAAAGCGCTTCCCCTAGAAAGATAGTGTGTAATGTAAAAATAACTAGTTGAGGTAATAAGCATTAGACATTAAACAAACAAATCCAAGGACTACAATATCAAAGCAAAAAACAACTGAGAGAAAGAAAGATACAATTTGTGCAAACAATGACAGTTAAGGCTGAACTAATGAAAAGAAAACACTGGAAGCACTTAACACACTTCAAAGTTGGCGATGCTATTTTGGATCCATTGCAATGTATTAAATAAGTCGATCAGATCTGCTTGGATTACTTTAGTGAACAAAGGTAGTTCCAACAAAATTCACAGACTAAGTAGTTCAAAACTAAGCAAATACACAAACATGAGACAGATAGATAGAGAGAGACAGAGAGAGGAATTGGTTATCACAAAGTTTATGAAACTGCATCAACACAAATCAAATCGACACATGACAGAGTGATCAATTTGTTTGGATTCCTGTTGACATGCATAATTGATCATATGAACATATAAATAGACTACAGACATAAATAGTTCGCCAGTAAATATTGAAGTCTGAACCAGGATAAGACACAATTTGGGCTATTAACAAACTAAGATATTTGCACCTTTTCATAACAAAGGCCGGTGTGTGTTTGCTTCTCTTAAGGTCTGTTTCTAACAAAGCCAAAAGGGATCCATATGTGATTATGTATCAAATTGGTAGAGGCAGAGTTAATAAATTGCCAACACTACAAAAATTTTCTTGATTTTCCATGGGCAGTAAAAATTTTATCCAGTCTACATAAGAACAAGTGCATCATGAAGCATTCAGGTTCATTCAAAGATGTTAAGTTTCCACTTATAGGCTATTTTTCTCAACAAAGTAACTGCACTCAGTGAGCAAATGGAGTTACAATAGTAGCAACACGTACCAATAGACGCACATGCTGGAAAAGTATGAAGCACGTGCTGAATTAATTTTACTGCTGCCAATCCATGACAGAGTACCCACAATAACATTACTGCAGTGTACCCGCCTGCAAAAGGATTGAATCACACTATGAGTCATCAATAATTGGAGACTTGACCCCACAACTGAAAATATCAGAGAGATATATCCGTTGGGATGCACAAACCATGAGAATTAAATAAATTTTGCCTACATCCTCCGCTATGAAGCACAGATATGGATACGGCGATACAGTAAAACCTTAAAAAAAAGATATGGGTACGGCTAGGATACGTCCATGAAATATTTTTTTTTAAAATTTTATTATTATATTTAATGTAATAATTATGATTTATAAAGTGAATCACACATCTATCAAAGATATATAATAATAACTAATCATTCTATTATTGAGAACTCATACATTCATAATTTTTTTTTTTTTTGGGCAAATAAGGGACCAACACATATTGGTTCTGGTGCCCTTATTCTTTTTAAAAAACTCAAGTAATGCCCCTTCGTATTCCCGCGTATCCCAACATATCCTGAAGTATCCAAAATTTAAATTTATTTTTTTTAATTCTAGGATACTTCCCCGCCGTATGAGATACGTATCCGGTCATATCGGACACATATCCGTATTCGGGAAGTATCCGATACCGATACTTTGACCTTTTTGAAGTATCCATGCTTCATAGATCCTCACTCTTCATGTCTCAACCGAAGCATACCAAAAAATTGCTCGTAGATGCATTTGCATAAACTTACCACAATGAAATTTCGTAGCGAAAGATACACAGAACACAGCTGCATACAGGGCTATGAAGCTTAAGCTAAATTTGGTGCTCCAGTCGCTATGGAAAGATATGGAATGATTATCATTGGGAAGGTGGGGAACGATGAAGTAGAAGAAGAAAAGCACCCCGAAGCAGCAGGCCGACGTGGCCCAATATTGCAACCGCAGATATTCAAGCTCTGTGGAAGGGAAAATTAAAAAACTGCATAAAAAATATAAAAAGAATAAAAATTTCCTGTTAAATTTTTTTAAAAAGAAATAGCTTGGAAAACACAATCACAGTGGTTATAGAGGCAGCTTGCTTAGAAATTAACTCTCTTTAAGTCCATATCCTGTTTAATATACTACTAGATTAAAGATTCCAGTTTTTTCCTAATTTTGAGACCGAAGATATTACCTTCAAACTTTTGATGCTCAACAAGTTGACAACAATATTAATAAGGCTAGGCTGTCTTTTTTCTTTTCCTTCCAGTAACGACAGGCTATGATCCAGAACTTCTTATGGTCTCAGAGTTACATTAAAAATAGTGAGAATTATGCGATTATCATGGAAATGTTGGTGACATAGGTGTAGGCTAAAGTTAATGACGGTTTGATATCAGATAAAAAGAAAATTTGGCGCTAAGGCATTATGGTGGTGGGCAAAGACAAGCACAGGTTGAGATCTTACGATAGCACCATTGTGAGTACAACAGTCAGAAAAAGAAAAATATTGATTTGGTCATATAAGTGACTACAACAGTCAGAAAAAGAACAAGAAGGAGAACAATATAAATTTTGATGAATCACCCAGCCTTACCTATTAAAAACAATCAACCGAGCCTTACCAACTCAATATAACAAATTTAAGGGATTTCTGCATTGACCATCTCAGACTATAGTATCTAGAAATCTGATCAGTTCATAAGCATTTTCATATCATGGAAAAACTGTGTAACGTTTGAAGAGAAGTAAAAATTGGTCCAACTTTAAGGCTGAAGCCCCTAGAAGCTGCTTGACAGCTTAGAAGATTAAGATGGCTAGTCTTTAAGATGCAGAGAAAAAGTATCACGCTACCTTCAGAGTCTATTTCGTGTAATGACACAGCTCTCAATAGCTGTATCAACCTTGAGAACATAAGACCGGGCAGCGTAACCGCCCCCAGAAGAATCCCCGACGAAGCACCTGCCCTGAATACAACCAATTTCGCCAAAAACCTCAAAGATTGATACATAATCACACATAATTCAGCTCAATATAATCATTTACATAAACCCTAATTGACCTTTATTTGATCTTAATAAATCACAAGGTGAAAAAAGCCTAACAAACAACATTTTGATGGAACTGTGAAGGTTTGAATAGGCGGAGGAGATAGTAGTACCTGGACTTGAATTGTGCGAGGGATTCGGAGGAGAATTCGGCGGAGATCTCGACGGATAGGGCGAAGAAAGAGAGAATAGAAAGAGAGAGAGCTTCATGGAGGAGAGAGAATGGAGCAGAAAAAATAATTTGAGATATGAAGAAAACAACCACGGCTCTCTCGCCGTTCGCCAGCGATGAAGCCATGGCCGCCAATTTCATTTATGTTTTGGCAAATGTATACACAGAAGAATTCAAATTCAATCGAAAATCGAGTTAACTCGGGATAAAACTTGCAGAGAAGATGAAGACGACGACGACGAGGATGCTGATGATGACAGAGATAGTGTTTGGCGCGCAGGAGGTTTTGCGCAGGGCATATTTTGCCTGTTTGGGGGTTACGAGTTTAACGGTCATTAGGCTCCTAATAGGACTGTTCTTCTGGGAAGAGTAATGCAATTGAACCTAATTTGTTAGATTTAATTTATTTGACTTATGAAATAATTGGGAGTTTCGTTAAATATTAAAATTTGGTATTAATTTAATAGCTCTAATGAAGTTATATTATTATATTAATAAATTATGTCAAATTTTTTGGTCTCAATAGCATTGTTCATCCTATGTGCTTAACGGTGGAGTCCAAAATTAGGATTGTGCCTCTTTATATTCACTTTTTTAATTTTTCATTGATTTTGAAATTAGATCATTATAAATAAATAGGGGTGTTTAAATTTTTGATTACTCGTATATTTCGATTCTATTTGACCTTATTGATTGGTTACCACAAAAAAATAGATAGGTCAACGAAAATTTCTTTGGTAGGACGGTCACAAATCTCTATTTTCACCTAATTTAATTTTTTATTATTAAATTAATAAATCTACCCCTTCTATACCTACCTCATTAGTAACTAAGCCTATTACATGCTACATATATCCAATTAATAGCTAAGTTCACTCATTTTATGTAAAATTCTTTAATAAAAAAATGTCATCGTAAGAAAAAATATAATGAATAAAACAATTAGTTTGAATGCATAAATATATTTGCGAAATAGGAAAAAAAAAACCAAACAAAATTGAAACTAGAAAAAAAAAACCAAAAATTAAACAAGTAAAAAAAAAATATGTTGAAACAAAAAAAAAAGAAAATAAAGAAACAAGAAAAAAAAACATACCAAAACAAGAAAAAAACAGAAAAAAATAAGCAAACCGTACAAGAAGGAAAAAAAATCAAGAAAAGATTAAAGCAACAAACAAAACTATAAGACGCAAAACCAAATATATAAAAAAAAAAAATCAAACATAGACACAAAATCAACACAAGAAAAAAAATATAACAAACATAGACGCAAAACTTTAATAAGATAAAAAAGAATCAACAATTTGAAAACAATATGAAAAATATACATATATATACACATATATAAATTCTAAATAAAAAATTATTAAACTTGACAGAAATGTCAAAACATACTAAAAATAATGAAAATTCATATAACAAATATGAAATCAAACGTATAATTAAATTGAGAACTGATACTAAACCTATATTTTATTGAAAAAATTTATATTGAAAAAGTGTTTTTGTGGGTGTATGAGATGAGATAGAGAATTAAACCTTAATTATGACAAAATATAAAATGAGTTTACTTATTAAAAGAAATGTATATAGTATGGGGTGAACTTAGTTACTAATGAGTGGGTATAGAAGGAGTAGGTTTAGTAGTTTGATAATGAAAAATTAAATGAGGGTGAGAATAGAGATTTGTAGGGTGGAAATAGCTCCACCCTTTTTGTTATTTCACAAAAATCGGATAAGAATGCGAAACACCTATAAAAACTTAGCATCGATTCAATTGTTTCCAATTGTACTCATTTTGTATATTTTCACTCTAAATCATAGTTATTAGAATTGGATTGATCATCGAACCGGTAAAGAGGGTGAGTTAATGATTCAGTGGTTCAACCAGAAAATTAATTGGTCATACTGATCGTATAATAACAATTTTAAAATTTAAAAACATAATAATTTAATTAAAAAAATATGAAGAATATATTTTTCTAGAACAAAAAAAATTGACAAAGCATAAAACCCGTACATTAGAATAAAAATCACAATCACATGAGAATTAAAATTCCTAATTAACTTGAGAATTTCATTTCATGCCTCCCAACAAGCACAATCACAACATCCAATAGGACCAATACCCACGGCCTCCAATAGGACCATTACCCACTACCACTCACAAGATAAGACTTATCTTTTATCTTCCGTATAAGTTACAATCTCCTCTCTTTTGTGTCTTCCATCGAGTATATGCTCTGTGTGTGTATGTGAATGAGACATAGAAAGATTGAAATAAAAGCAACGATGAAGAGAATACGAAGTTGAGCTCTAGAGAAGGGAGAGTTTGAGACTCGAGTTCCAGAGAAAGGAGAGTTCGAGCTGAGTTACTGGTCTATGCTTGAGCTTATGCGTCATCCACACTGGAGAAGAAGAGAAGACGAAGTTGCCTAGGGCCAACTTTGCCCCATTTTTTATTATTATTATTATATATGAGGAGTTACATGAACTGCCCAGATTATATGAATCGCACGGTTCACTAGTTTTACAGTCTTTTAACGGTTCAAATGTTCAAGCAATCTATTAAGCAAACCGGACCGGTGTAAAGCCCGATTCAAGGTTTGGCTGGTCTAATCACCCGGTTCGGTCCGATTTCTGATAACACTGCTCTAAACGCAACCAATTGCATTTTTTTTTGGTTCTCAATTGCATTTAATTGAGAACACACAAACATATATTCAACATGCAATTTTTGCTACATTGTTTTGAGAGAATTATATTTTACACTATAAAAGATTTATAAATTTTTACTTTATATTCTTAAAGATTAGATTTTTTACATTACACTTTTAACGTATTAAAAGTATTTTAATGTAAATCTTTTGAAGTATTTTAATGTGAATATATAAATAAACGATAGATTATGTACTCAAAAACTTATAGAATAAATCAATAATTAAAATAAAAATGAATTACTTAGCATCTAATTCATTATTTAATTTAATTATACAAATAATTCATAGTTTCTATATAAATGAGAAGAGAGAGAAAATAGTGGGAAAGAGAGGAAAAGGATAAGAGAGAGAAAGAGTGGACAAGAAGAGAGAGAAGATTTCTAAAAAAATGGAGAAGAGAAGAGTTGAGGAGGAAAGAGAGAAAACGTGGGAGAGAAGAAAGAGAGAAAATGTGGGGGAGAAGAAAGGGAGAATTTTTAAAAAAAATGGAAGCAAGAATGAGAAAAAGGAGAGAAAAAGTGGGAGAGAGAAGAGGTGAGAGAAAAAAAGAGAAAGAAATAGTGGGGGTAAAAGGGATAAAAAGATTTTTAAAAAATGAAAGCAATGTGATACACTCAAGAGTACTCTAGTAATTAATCCTAACTCAATTCAAGTATTGAAAATATTTGAGCAACTAAATTGTTCATATTGAATTTAGGTTGATTAACCTAATATGTTTTTTTTTAAAATTTTTTTTAATTCAAGTGAGACCCATTATATATATATAAATAAATTTTACACTCATTAATGTAGATGATCTGCTGAGAAAAAAATTAAAAATAAAATATATTTAAGAAAATTTCAATCTTTCGAATCCAACTAAAACCCCAAAAGTTATAAATAAACTCTAAAAAATTATTAAAATTTTTTTACAAAACTTGTAAATAAAATTACAAAAAAAAATAATAATAATATTTTTGTTACCCTAGTCTTCTCGCTAGACAAGCGAAGGAATTTTATTAGACGGTCGTAGGTAGGTGACCACTAGCTGCTAGGTTAGATTACTCCAAGAAGTCTCGCTTTAAATGTCGCCTCTCTCAATCCTTTGCCCAAATTTCTTTACCAATCTCTGATTTCTCAAATCAATTATCGTATCTCACAGTCGAAGAAGATGAGTCACCCAGCCGAATCCTCTGACTCGTAAGTCTTTCTCATCGTTGACTCGGTTTATTCACTGTAATTTCATCAATCGGAGATAAATCCACGGTTCGATTATGAAATTCGATGTCGAATTTGAGGATTTGGAATGGCTGACAGTGAGGGATTTTGTTTTTGTTTTTCAGGAAAGGAGGGAAGAAGGACTTCTCGACGGCAATACTGGAGCGCAAGAAATCCCCCAATCGCCTCGTCGTTGACGAGGCCGTCAATGACGACAACTCTGTCGTGGCTATGCACCCCGCTACCATGGAAAAGCTGCAGCTTTTTCGTGGTGACACAATTCTAATCAAGGTATTTTGTTTATAGATCTATTATTTGCTTTCTTGTTTGTTTTGTTCTCTGTATGTTATATTATTCTTGGATTTTGTGAATTGGGTTTTTTTAGAGTGTTAGAGAAATTTGTTCGACCATTTCCAATGGTAACCCAAACTCTTATCCAAATTTGATTACAAAAATGGGTAAAAAACTTGATTTGGTATAGAACTCTCTACCGGAGAAACTCAAATTTAATGGTTGACAAACCCAACATTAAATGTGGACAAACTCAAATTTAAAGGAGGATAGAATATGGCTATTAGATTTGAAAGGAGAATGAAATCTAACCATTGGTAATTTGTGGAAAGGTTTGAGTCTCTTTTGATTTGGGTAAAAATTTGAGTCTCCTTTGACTTGGTATGGGTTTGGGTATAGCATTGGAGAGATTTTTAAGGATTTTTACCCAAATTTCATTTTGGATTTAAAAAAAAGGGAAGGATTGGAGATGCTCTATAACTGCAAGGTTGTCCAGTAATTCTTTGTTAGTTATATACATGTGTGAGAGTGCGTGTGTAACCTCCAGTGCGTGTCTTATGCGTACACTTGTGTTTCACTTCTATTGAAGGGGATTCTAGCATTGAAGTCGAACTTAGCATTGTTCAAAATACAATGACTCTTGCATCAAGTTAACATGTAGATAGATTATAGGCAGACTATGGCAATGGGTATGGAGGGAAAAAAAAAGGTAACGAGGTGAAAATAGGGTAAGGAAAAATAATAGATTAGAAGATCTTTGCTCAAAAGGTCAAGGAGGATTGTGCTCTGTGGGCTGACATCCGTTTTCATGTGCATTAAATCGTATCTTCAACTTAGCAGTGGGAAAAAATAGAGTTTGATTTCAAAATAAGTGAACATTGAGCTGAACTGCACACCCAGTGACACCTTCTATCTATAGGTTTAATTGCGCTCCAAGTAGAGGGTGGGTGGTTGTGATCAAGTTGTGTCTTGCAATAAGGATGGGTGGTTGTGATCAAGCTGTGTTGATTGATATGGCATAATTTTTCTAATCAAATTTGAACTTTAAATGAGGCAAGAATGGAATTTTGTATTGGTGTTGTACTTGAGAGGAGCTGAATTACATACCACATGTTATGGGATTTACAAATCAAATTGTCGGAATACATGCTTTAGAATTTGAACGCATTTATGCAGAAGCTGTTATTAGTTTTTGGTGTCCTCAGAATTTTATCTAATCCTCTAAAGCATCTTGTTGCTTTTAGTACATGACAATGATGATTTGGTTGAAATGGAAGCAGGCAACTCTTAGGGTGGGGCTTGGGGTGTTACTATTCTCAAGTCCAATTCCCTTGAGATGCAGTATATTATTGCTTAGGTTGGTTGTTGTTGGTGATTTTGGTGCTTTTATGTTAGAAGACCACATTTTTTAGAGATGATGATACATAATTTGACATCATGAGCTGCCGAAAAATTCACAATATTATCTTCATTATTTTCTTAATTTTTTATGTTTCCAAATTATATGGGGGCTGAGTTTTGTTACGGATTGGCTGCCATAGTTGTCATTCTATTTGATTCATTTTTGTCCTTTTCCTGCTACTATCTGGTTTTTAGGGCAAGAAAAGGAAGGATACAGTCTGTATTGCCCTTGCTGACGATACATGTGATGAGCCAAAAATTAGGATGAACAAGGTTGTTAGAACAAATTTGCGAGTTCGACTTGGAGATGTCGTATCTGTGCACCAGTGCCCAGATGTTAAGTATGGGAAGCGAGTTCATATACTGCCATTGGATGATACCATAGAAGGTGTCACTGGGGATCTGTTTGATGCATACCTGAAACGTAAGTTTTACAGCCGTTTCACATTTGATTTGACTATGTATTCATGCATGTCACACACTTGGGTGTGTTATTTGCTTGTTGTCCTTGTTCTGTTAGAATTGTTTCTTTTTAGGTTACCAACTTACTGTCTGTGACTCTTGCACCAAAAAGAATGAGCTACTACTGCCCAATTTTTCCAAGTGCAACATAGTTACCTCTCATCAATACATGCAATGTATCTGAAAAGTTTTTATCTATAGTAAAAAGGTTGTGTTTGTTTACCATATTTGATGAGGTTTTCACTATTGTTGTGTACCTTTTCGTTGCCATGTAGGTATTATGATAATGGTGAAATTGCAAGTGTTTTTAGTAATTGTAGAATTGCATGTCATTTTTCATTTCATATTGGGTGTGTATATTCAGACTCTGCCAGTAATTACTCCTTGATGTCCATTATAGCAGTTTTATTGTTTGTTCTTTCAATTTCTGTAATTATTCGTCTCCCTTTTTGTGAGATTGTCCCTTTTTTGTTTTATAAATGAAATTTCTTTCATTTGTTTCTCTCATTTCATATGAAATGATTAGATGCTGTCAATTTGTTTAGTTTAATTGACTATGTTTTGGTTGCAGCTTACTTTTTGGAGGCATATCGTCCTGTGAGGAAAGGAGATCATTTCCTTGTTAGAGGAGGGATGAGAAGTGTGGAATTTAAGGTCATTGAGACTGAGCCAGGGGAGTATTGCGTTGTTGCCCCAGACACTGAAATCTTTTGTGAAGGAGAGCCTGTTAGAAGGGAGGATGAGGATAGGTTGGATGAGGTTGGTTATGATGATGTTGGCGGTGTCAGGAAACAGATGGCTCAGATTCGTGAATTGGTGGAACTGCCATTAAGGCATCCCCAACTTTTTAAATCTATTGGTGTGAAACCACCCAAAGGAATTTTACTATATGGACCCCCAGGTTCTGGAAAGACATTAATTGCGAGGGCCGTTGCTAACGAAACAGGTGCTTTCTTCTTTTGTATTAACGGGCCAGAAATTATGTCAAAATTGGCTGGTGAAAGTGAAAGCAACCTCAGGAAGGCATTTGAGGAGGCTGAAAAGAATGCTCCATCTATCATTTTTATTGATGAAATTGATTCAATTGCTCCCAAGCGAGAGAAGACACATGGTGAGGTTGAAAGACGAATTGTTTCACAACTATTGACTCTCATGGATGGGCTTAAATCTAGAGCCCATGTTATCGTAATTGGGGCTACAAATCGCCCAAACAGCATTGACTCTGCTTTGAGAAGATTTGGTAGGTTTGACAGGGAAATAGATATTGGGGTTCCTGATGAAGTTGGGCGCCTTGAAGTTCTTCGCATTCATACCAAGAATATGAAGCTCTCTGATGATGTAACACACATATTTCAGAGTTTGCTTTATTGGGTGCAGTCTTTTTCTAGCAATTGTCATTTTTTTACATTTCACTGTGCAGGTTGATCTAGAAAGAATATCAAAGAATACTCATGGCTATGTTGGAGCTGATCTTGCTGCGCTGTGTACTGAAGCTGCTCTTCAGTGCATCAGAGAAAAGATGGATGTCATCGACTTAGAAGATGAATCCATTGATGCTGAGATACTCAATTCTATGGCTGTTACAAACGAGCACTTCCAGACTGCTCTTGGAACAAGCAACCCATCTGCTTTGCGGGAAACAGTAAGGATTTTTTCAGAGTGATCTTATACTGGGTGGCATCATGTATTTTTCTTAAATGCCATACGCCTCCTCCTGTAGTCATATATAATCATGTATTGAATCTTTTAATTTTTGAATTAATGAGCAGGTTGTTGAAGTGCCCAATGTTAGCTGGGAAGACATTGGAGGCCTTGAGAATGTGAAGCGGGAGCTTCAAGAGGTAACTGATACCATTGAATTGGGCTCAAGCTCTATATTTTGGAATATCTTTTGTTGTAGTAACTTTTGTTTTTAACTTCTTATTTTGTAGACTGTTCAATATCCTGTGGAGCATCCAGAGAAGTTTGAGAAATTTGGTATGTCACCTTCAAAAGGCGTTCTTTTCTATGGTCCGCCTGGATGTGGGAAAACTCTACTGGCTAAGGCAATTGCAAATGAATGTCAAGCCAACTTCATTAGTGTTAAAGGACCTGAACTGCTCACTATGTGGTTTGGAGAAAGTGAAGCCAATGTTCGAGAAATTTTCGACAAGGCAAGACAATCTGCACCATGTGTTCTCTTCTTTGATGAGCTCGACTCTATTGCTACTCAGGTGATTTCTTCATACTTTCTTTTATCTTAGTTCGAGATTGTTATTTGAAACATCGAACTAAATGTTGATGATTATAGTTTAAAATTCCATACTACATGCATAACCCTTTACTTTGAGCCCCACCAACACCCCATCTTAACCGTAGAAGCCTGGCATCTTATTTATTACGAACATTTTAAATCATTTACACAGCTTGCGTGCAATGTTTCTTCTTGTTGTTTCAGAGAGGAAACAGTGTTGGAGATGCAGGTGGTGCTGCTGATCGGGTTCTGAACCAACTTCTGACTGAAATGGATGGCATGAATGCTAAAAAGACTGTTTTCATAATTGGGGCCACCAACAGACCTGACATAATTGACCCTGCACTTCTGCGGCCAGGCCGCCTTGATCAGTTGATTTATATCCCTCTGCCAGATGAAGATTCCCGTCATCAGATTTTCAAGTCCTGCCTGAGAAAATCACCCGTCTCCAAAGATGTTGATTTGAGAGCTCTTGCAAAATATACTCAAGGCTTCAGTGGGGCTGACATTACAGAGATATGCCAGCGAGCTTGCAAGTATGCCATAAGAGAGAACATTGAGAAAGTATGCTTTTGCACTTCTTGCTTGATATACCTTTTGATTTTATTTCTGAGAAATTTATGCACTTATCCATACTTTTGTTGACTTGTGCATCTGCATCTGCATCTGCAAACTCGTGTTAATGTACTAACCAGCAAAACCTTGCGCTGACTAAAAGCAGTAATTATAGGATGTGGTCTCTCTCTCTCTCTCTCTCTCACACACACACACACACACACATTTCTAGGTGCATATCATCAATCAGTCCCAACTCACATTCTTCTAGACGCAAACAAACACTTGTCCTTGGAGTGCCTTCAACTAAATGAAGTAATCTGCTGCTGTTTGTAGTTATTGATCTTCCTTTGCATGATCAAACCATTTATGTTGACTCTCTTACTTGGTGCTCTCCTCATAAATATTACAGTGGGCTGTAATCATTATCATACCCTTTTGATGCTAAAACCTATTATTCAGATGGTCAGGTCCAGGTTTTGGTTTGTTATACTATATTAGTTCTGAATGGAACTTGAGATCTTGCATGAAACCTGATAAAACAAGCACATTGGAGTGCTTGATTCTGGAATTACAGACTAAGATTGGAGATAGTTTGATATTGGGTCTAGCTTTGCGGTATCCGTCTACTTTTGGTGGGTTTGTTTCCATGACCACTTTATGCCCTCTTCTTTATGTTTGTTGTCGAAGTGGCCTAACCCAATCCAGGTTTCTTGCTATTAGTTTGAGTTGACCTCTGGTTTGTTTTGCTTCTAAATAATTGACGCACTGGATTTTATTTCTTCGCTCGTTAAGGTTTCAGGCTAATCGTGCTATCATTTTGTTGATTTTCGTTAATTGATATCGATGCCTCATCACTGAATGATCATTTGCCTAACGTAGGATATAGAGAGGGAGAGGAGGAGCAAGGAGAATCCTGATAACATGGACGAGGATGTTGAGGATGAAGTGGCGGAGATTAAGGCTGCCCATTTTGAGGAGTCCATGAAGTATGCTCGTAGAAGTGTGAGTGATGCTGACATACGGAAATACCAGGCTTTTGCTCAGACCTTGCAGCAGTCACGGGGTTTTGGAACTGAATTCCGATTTGCAGAGACGGGAAGTGGAGTTTCTGGAGCTGACCCATTTTCCACTTCTGCTGGTGGAGCTGATGAGGATGACTTGTATAGTTGAGATTTTCAGATATCCGAGCACTATTGAATATCGGTTTACTCCCGTTTCTAGTGTCCTACACAGTTCTAAACTTGATACCTAATGGTTCTTATCGGTTTGATACATGACTTACCAATTGAAACAAACATTAATGTAATGCATGGACGTGTTTGGAAACTGATGTTTTACCTCCTAGATTCTGTCTCTAAATGTCTTCCTTAGAGGTTGGTCCTGGTTTAATTATATACCTCTGCAATCGAAGGGATGGCTCAGAGTAGTACATTATTGGCTTGAGTAACCCTATTCTCCAAGTTCTTTATGCTTTACACCTGAAATGATTCACTGGTAAGACTCGAACTTAAAAGTTCAAGATATTGATCACAAAATTTGTGCAATCTAAATAGGTTGATTAGTTTGACTTATTTTGTTTGTTTCTTTATTGTGGATCGAATTTGGACTTCTAATTCTAGTATTGCTTTTTAGAGAAGCTAGTCTCTTTTTTAGATAAGGCACTATTACATGGAGAGGGATGACGATTGACGAGGTTTGTATCTGGTCTGTCATTAGGCCGGCCAATTGTTAATCTTGAAGCCAAACCGTTAGGTTGCACTTGGTTGTTTTGTATTATGTAAATAGAAAATATCAAATCAAAATTGCTTCTTCAAACTTAAATTAATACCACATTTTGCAATTAATGCTCTTAAAAAATTCGAGGTGACCCAGAAGCAGATAATTGCTCACGTAAAGGGTGGAAATACAAAATTCACATTACATTCAACCGATTATGTCAACAACAAATTAGATCTAAATAATATTATTCATTACAAAATTAGCATTTAATCATGCAATCATGATTTGAAAAGTACACTACCAACAGACATTTGGTCAAATAGTACTCCTTATCTTTTCAAGACTTTACTTTCTTGAGGTCAAGGGTTTAAGTCCCCCTTCCCCCTCCCCCTCCCCCTCCCCCTCCCAAAAAAAAAAAAATGATTCGAAAAGTACACTAACCACTGTTTCTATATATGCTCCTCTCAAAAATAGTAATAAACTTATACATTGGTACATGCAGTGCAGTAACGGGCATGACAAAGCAACCAATGTACAATTGTCACCTGATCAATCCTTGTTCCCAACAGTACATATAATATAGTTAAGGTTTCTTAGATTGCTCTCCAGGAGTGCACCTCAATGAACCAAGAGTGTGATATCGGCTGGGTGCTGATGAATGCCTGAACCCCTTTGGCATGCAAGTTTTTACTTCTCTGGGGTGAAAAACCTGTCTTTTGTGATTCAATTCAGGCTTCATTGTCACATAAGTTCGACCTCCAGATTCCGATTGCTCGGTCCTGCTGACCAAAACACTAGATGGGAGAAAGCGTCCGGCCATTGCTTCATCCAGAGGAGACAACAGTAGGAGAAGATAAATGTATAATGCAATGTAGCCATGAGTAGTAGTAGTAGACATTGAAGTTTTTTGGGTTGTTTTTCTTCACAGAAAAAGCTATGGGGTATCAGAGATTTTTGTAACAAATTTAATTTTCTGGCTGTGAGAAAGAAGAGGTGAAGGTGAACTTAAATAGACTCGTGAGTATATGAAGAGATACAGCTCAATGCTAGTAAGGAGAGGAGAGAGAGAGAGAGAGAGTTGGTGAGCTGGGTGGTCTTTTTTGACAGTAGCCTGTGAGGGAGATGAGGATGCCCGTGAGTTTCTGCCATTGCAATTAACAGTCAGAGCCTCTTCCTTTCCATTGTGTCCCTAACTCAAAGTACAAGGGTATATCAAACAAAGATGTTTGGTGGGTAGGGCCAATTCACCAACTTCTATGCATGATTAGTGAGATTTATGTTGGATAACTTGTGAATCAAGTGAAATACTTGCAATGATCCAACCGGATTTACTGGAAAGAAAATAAAAAAAATGTTTTGATAATTATAATGTTGCTAAAACTCCATGTTCTAATGTATGTTCAATCCTAAGTTGCTTATTTAACAGAATTGAATCCAATCCTCAATCATTAAATCGCTATTGAAGTAAGGTGGGCCCTTACAACAAATTTTTGGCTTCATTTATCAGGTAAATTAAATCACACTACTGAATAACAAATGGTAGAAATAGGCAGACAACTTCACCATTCTACCTTAGAGTTGTACAGGGTAAACCCCCCCCCCCCCCCCCCACCCACCCACAAAAAAAAAAAGGTCTCGTATTAATTTTTTTCATATTTATGAATATTTTTATTATTGTTGTGAGTACTAAAAAAAATGGTAAAAATAGTCATTACAATAGTGATAAAAATACTCACAATAATGATAAATTATTCACAAAAGTAATAAAAATAATTACTACAATAATGATAAAATACTCACAAATGTGATAAATTATCCACAAAAATAATAAATTTTTTAGTTGTAAAATGATCTATAAAAGTTATAAAAATATCCATTAAAATAATAAAATTTAAAGATACGGTACCAAATTTTTTTCTTCGATACCGTCGTCAAGTCCTTATACGTTGAAAAAAACCAACCACTCCCTCACCCTAACCCGATCCCAAAAGAGTAATCACCATTGAGACCTAAAAATATGTTAGTGACATAGTTCCATAGTATTTTTGTGATTCTAATGGTTGAACTTCTTTATCATTATTTTATCACTTCACACATTACCGTATCAATAAATTAAATTAATTTTTTAAACTTCAATAGCAATAATCGTTTCAAAATTACTCGCCAATTTTATGTCATAGCGAAGGGAAACACATCAATATGACTTTGACATACTTTTGTTGAATAGAACTTTCAAAGTCAACCTTAACCACCTATTCTCTGTCTCTTTTTTTTTTTATACCAGCTGGAAGAGCTTGATTGGGCCACGTTTCACTCTAGTTCACTACATTTTCCTCTGTAGCCATGTGTTTCCTTTTACTACACAACCGACCAACCACCAACCTTAATTTTCTTATGCCATGTGACACGCTCCCAGCAATCCTGTAAGAGACTGTGGTAACAGGTTCTAAGGAGGTCCACGTGGTAGTCATCTTCCAAAAAAGTAAATGCATAGGGTAAGTGGAGAAGTTTGGCCCTTTCTTTTTTTTTTTTTTAAATAAATTTTTATGAGTTTTTTTAGTGACATTAGGGCTCGAAATCTGGAACATGTTACTCATTAGCGCCATATATATGACCATTGAGTTCAGAATTATAGTTTCAAACAATTTTATTTGTATACTTACTTGATTTGAATGGACTACTGGAGAATGATTACTACATGAAACAATATAGGTATGTTGGTCTGTGCACAAGACATCGTTTATAGTGGGATTGGGATCTCCCCTCTCTTTTCTCGGATGGGGCATCTTGTCCCTCTTCCACTGCATAAAGAGTATTTAAGGATTGAAGTTTTATTCGATCCAACTAGATTTTTCAGAATGTTTTCAACTCCCTCCCTCATATGTTGTAAAAGAGAATTAAGAAAGACATTTTTTTCTTTATCTTTACTGATACAAATGATTTTTCGGACATCTATATCCTCTTTAATCTCTATTAATTATTAGAAAGGTGTTAAATCAGAAAAGAATGCTTCTATACCTCGAGGTAGAAACGTGGGATGGAGGCGATAGAGAGAGAATACATGGCATGACACATACTGAAACATAAGATGTTTTGAAGGTTGTTTTTCCGAGAAGTGTAGTGAAAGGCTTTAAGTCAACTTTCTTTTTTTTGTTTGTAGAATACTCATCTTTTTTCTTATTTTTGTTTCTCTGTGTGAGTGGGGATTTGGGGATAACAGACAAATGGTTTGGACAAGAAGGTTTTGTAATTATATGAGGAAGAAGGGGAAGACAAAAATGATTATTCATTGTTCGACCGTCCAATTTGAGACTCTTCTTTACTGGCCAATTTGAACCAAACAATCGATCCTAACAAGAGGAAGGGAGCGTTAGGAGCCCTTATGCGACTGATAGAGGAATTCATATTATCAATCTAGCATTAGGGGAATCTATTATAGAAACAAAGATAGTATTATAAAGGGCTAATTAATAGTATTACAAATAATCAATCGTTTCCTTCTTTCACTATTAGTTAATCTAAAGATTTTTTTAGTTATTGATTGCACTAGACTAGATAGGACAACAAACACACAACTTCCACCCACATACAAGGAAAAAAAAACAAGCCTAGTACTCAGAAAATAGAGAATCCAGTTGACATAGCTCAGTTGTTAAAGAAAGAAACTTATAGTTCACCATAGATAAGCAAATGTCTTGCTTGATTACAAAATACGAAAAAAGAAAGAGCTAAGCGCTTGAAAATTTCTTTTAGTCTCCCCCCAAGTCACCGCGGGCGACAACGTTCCACTTTCTCTAAAAAAAAGAACTACAAAAGTGGTCTCGTCCTCTTTGTTCACACTAAGGAGATCTTTAAAAAAACGTTAACTAGACAATATAGGGTCGGAAAGAACCGATATATTAATAATATTAGCTTTACCCTTATTTTAGAGATATGGATTATCAGACTGAAACCTCCAAAATATCTTTAGATAAATTAATACTTGTTATTGCTCTAAATTCTACCTCTTTCTCCTAGAAAGAACATCATTACTTATTTCCCACATATTTGCTAGTGTGTCTTATTCACAGGCAGTTGGGTTAAGTGGTGGAATGAAATATGCAAATTGGTTATTTGTAGGGCTGTTCACGGGTGGGAGTTGGCTCGCAAAAGCCCGCTACCTAGCCTACAAATAAGGCTCAATACCATAGCCTGGGCTTGGATCCACTATCACTGGGCCCAATGAGAAAATTTTATTCGGGCCTGGCACGTGAGACTTCCCTAACTGGGGATATCTGGAAGGAATTCTTCTATGTTGGGTAATATGAAGTCATAAAATAAAACCCAGGGCTGTTTTCCAATTGGTTGAAATATCAAGGGGATAAGCTGACATTAATGCCATCCATGAACCAAGATAGGAAGATCCAAGATACTAAGTTAAGGGAGAGGAACAAAGCGGTTGGTTCAGTTTACATTTCACTCTGGACAGAGAAATATTGAATGGAGCTGAGGTTGCAGACTCTACAATTTTCCTCCTTCTCTAAGGGTAAGGTCACAAACACTAACATCTCTCTCTCTCTCTCTCTCTCTCTCTCTCTCTCTCTCTCCATGCAAGTGTGAGATTCTTTATGCTATTTGTTGAGGATGTTCACTTGGCTTTTCTGGTGGTAGTTCAGTAGTTGTGGTGTTGAAGTATTTGGTAGCTGTTAATTTAGGAACCATTTGTACAACGCCTTTAAGTGAAGTACAAAATATAGCTGATGGGACTTTTATGGGTTTTTTTTTTTGATTTGGAATAAGAATTTTAGTGCCATTGGGAGATGGGTTCATAATGATTTGGTGAAACCACCACATCAATCAATTGTAATCTTTATTGAGTTTGGTCTTTAT